ACGAAAAAAGCATCATGCCTATGAAAATAAAAAAATTAAAATAAATAGTGAGTGTGAAAAGAAAATTTTATCAAGAATTAATAATCCTATGAAAATAGTTTGGGGTAATTTTGAAATAATCGATGTGTGTAGAAAGTAAACGCAACTATATTAAAATTACGCGGAGTGTGTATTTAGAAGAGATGTGAAAAATAAAAAAAAGTGTGTGAGTAGAAACACCTAAAATTTTTTTAGACAACTATACGTTCCCTCCACCAATGGTAAAAGATACCGGGGCGAGAAGCGGAACTGAACTAGTGGTATAATAATCATTTTTTTATAGTAATAATAATTCATCTCAGGTTTGTCAATTCTCATTCACCATTGACCGGATGTACAATTACAATGACTTTTTGGCCTAATAATATTATTGAAGTTTATACTTTTGTTTTGGTGTGACTCGTCCCCAGATTGAGCGAAGATTCCTACATGAAATAAGCCTTAGCTGCGGCCAAATTGTCATCGCTGAAAACTGTTGCAGTGGATGGTGTAATATTTTTGCAATAACTTGTGCCATTTTGTTAAGGTAGTCTTCAGTTTTGACGTTTGTCTTCGCTAAACGTTTTTTAATTCTAATTGCACCGAAAGTTTAGGAATATAGAGAGGCAAATGGTCCTTTGTTTTGGGAGTTTTAAAAAAGCTGAAGTTTTATAAAATTAGTAAATTAATAACCGATTTTTATTAACTTAGTGGTCAATACTAATTGACATAGTTTATTATTGATTAACTTAGTAGTCTATCACTAATTGACTTAACTTGATTAGATTTAATTTATCATTAATTAACTCGATGATTTTTCATTATTAATCAATATCAGCTAGTAATTAACCAAAATCAGTTAGTAACTGATCAATTTCAATCAGAAAACTTACAAGTTTTTTAATGATAACCATTGGTAAATTAATAATGAATCAAACAATCAGGAATAAACTACTATAAAAAAACAACTACTTTCCTAAAATAACAAAAGTTCCTATGTTTGTCTAAAAAATAAAACGTTTAGCCATTTTACCAAAAAATGTGGTCAAAAGGCGGCCATTTTACTAATTTTCTCAAAAATTTAAGCCTCGTTTCAGATTTTAAAAAAGGATTTAGATGTCGTATGAAAAGTGAGATATTTTAGCAAAAAAACCTTTGAGGATGTTCCAATTACTATTTTTTCATAAACTTGTTGTTCTGGACTATACAACATAGAATTTACTTTTAATACAACATAAAATTGTTGTTTTGATCATAGGTATTATATTCAAGATCTTTTATGTTAGAATTAGGGGTGTTCATTGGTCGATTTTTATAAGTTCGGTGACCAAACTGAAGTTTCAATTTTGCGGATAACTAGAACTGAAACCGTCCAACGGGGGTATAAAACTAAACATTAACCGGACCACCATACTCGGTCTGTTCGGTTCGATTTTGGCGGTTAATCGAAAGACTTTTAAGCATTTTTACAATATTTTTAAAAATATTTTTTAAGTATTTTTACAATATTAGTAGTAGATAGAGTATTACTTTTAATTATTTTTTTTACAGTATTTTAAACGAAAGACTAGTAGATAGAGTATTACTTGTAAGTATTTTTACAATATTTTTAAAAATACTTTTTAAGGCAACCTATGTTTTCAGTTTGGTTAACTGATCGAATCTAAAACATGAAACTGAAACCGAATTACGATACTATGCCTCGGTTCGGTTAACTGACCACTACCATTCGGTCGTGACATGATACCTACTTCTTCGGTCAGTTTCGATTGGTTGTTGTCGGTCCTGCTCGGTTGATGGTTTTTTTTTTTTTTTTTTTTTTTTTTTTTTTTAACCCTTATAATGATATTGATACTTTTAAGTATTTTATGTAGTTTACTTTTATTTTACTATTTTGAGTAATTAGTAATACATAAAAGTAAAAAGTATTACTAATAGACATATATCAAACAAAATATTCACCTTAAACAATGAGAGAAAAAATAACTTTAAGAAAATATTGGAATTTAGTTTTAAAGCATTGCTAATGATTACATGAAAGAGTATTTTATTTAAAATATATATTGTTCTATTCTGTTTCAATGACTAACTAAACATAATAATTGTGATTCTAATATTAATTTTAATACTAAACAAAATATATAAATTTAAATGAATCATTAATCTATTCATATTCCCGTTCCATTATATTTATATTTCTATTATTATTCCCATTCTCACCCCATTAAACTAAAGGCCATTTTATTTGAAGAAAAAAAAAACTAAATGTCACTTAACTATAATAAAGTTTCGTGATAAGATCCACGCTAATGAACAAAAGAATTGTGATTGATCAATGAATCCAATAATAATGAAACAAAAGATTCCTCGGGAAAAAAAAAAAACTTATAATGAGACAAATGACGAGGAGGAAACGTACAGCTGTTCTACAACTACAATTAGCCGAGTATGTCTTCAGATCCAATATATATCAGTCGAGTCATAGTCAATATCAATTCCATCAATGATGAAACAATATGCTCAGAAAAACTCCGCGCGATCTCCAACAACTAACAAAATTAAACAAAACAAGATCGATAATCCTCAGTTGATAGTGCTGGATCTCCCTACAACGAAGGAAAAAAGAGAAACAATAACAATCGACAAACCCCAAAAAAAAAAAACACCTGAAAATCTTTGTTGACAATCATGCCGGCGGTGCAAAAAGCAGTGGCGAAGAAACACATGACCAACTGAACTTCCAACAAGAGGGAGTAAGTAATCTCCTGCTTCGCCTTCTTGTACGTCAGCTCCATCAAAGGCAGGATGAAGCCGTAGGGCACCGCCTTCTCCACCGTCATCAGGAACCCCACCGGTCGCCGCTAGTGTGTAGCGCCAAGAGAGCGCCTCCGGTCGTCAGCAAAACGACGGAGTGTATTCAATACAACGTGAACTTTTGCTTGAGAAGGTGGCGGTGCAGGCGAGCTGGGAGGAGATGATGTGGGAGGAGGAGGAGACGCGGAGGCGCGCGACGTCGACGTAGGCGTAAATGTAGTCATAGGGGGGCGCATGATGAGTGGGCCCCCGCAGTTCCCGATCGATAGGAAGATGCTGTTCAATACGAGGAGGGCTACGTTCTGTCTGTCGGCGCTGCTTCTGCTGCTGCTTTGTTGTTCATTCATTACTCGTGGATTTCTCTTTCTCTCTCTCTCATTCCC